TGGGCGTGGCTTGGTGGGCGTGGCTTGGTGGGCGTGGCTTGGTGGGAATGCCAGGGGAAGGACACTGCAAAATCTCCATTCCCTCCCCACTCTGGGGCCAGTCAGAGGGTGGTATTTGCTGGTTCTCCGAACTAATCAAAATTTCCGCTACTGGTTCTCCAGAACCCGTCAGAACCTGCTGGATTTCACCCCTGCCTTAACGTACATCTCGCTGACCCGCAGAAATGTTGAGGTCCATTGCAGTCGTAAGCCGAGGACTACCTATTATTCTTTTTTAGATCTCCCAAGTAAGAGGAAGGCCCTGCAGGCGTTTCCAACCCTCTTCCTCTCTATCCGTATCACACACAGTAATCGCTAAGACAGGCAGAACAGAAGCACAAGACAGACTTTATTCTGGCTGTATTACGTTGGTTGTATCAACACACCCCTCCAACTCAGGAATGACAGTCCAGGAACAGCTGACAGTGACCCCGCCCTGTGCAAAGGCAGAAAGGGGGAACCCAAAGCAACCCGCCTCCTGCTCCCCACTACCACGTAGTAGCGCAGACAAGTTCCCTTCACGTTTTTATTAACGGGAAGGGGCGAAACCATTTAGGGAGAGCCCGAATACTTCCCCTTGCCCCGCAGGGGGAGCAACTCTCTGGCTAAAACTCACTTGTGTGGGTGGCTGTGGGTCCATAATGCTTACTGGTAAGTTGAAGGTTCCCACCATAACGTAACTGTTGGCGTTGCGGTCATGGACAGTGGAACCTGACCCCCGGGGTCCCGTGTTGTTGTGAGGGGCGGAGGACAAGCCTGCTCCTGAAGGCCCTCCTGAGGGCGACTGGGTCTGGGGAGGTGCGCGTTCCACCAGGTGGATGACTTTGCCTCCAACATCTGCCAAAAAAACCAAACAAACCAGGATACATGATCGGATTTCCTTAAAGGAGTTCTCATTCCAAGCCTTGAAGCCTTAAATAGCAAGAGCACTTAAGACTTATATACCGCTTCACAGTGCCTTTAGAGCCCTCTCTAGGCAGTTTACAGAGTCAGCCTATTGTCCCCCAAACAATCTGGGTTCTCATTTTACCCACCTCGGAAGGATGGAAAGCCGAGTCAACCTTGAGCCTGGTGAGATTTGAACTGCTGAACTGCAGCTAGCAGTCAGCTGAAGTAGCCTGCAGTACTGCACTCTAACCACTGCGCCCCCACGGCTCTAAGATCTAAAATTTAAGTTTTTAAGAAGAGATTGGACAGTCGTTTGTCTGAAATGGTATAGGCCCGTGACGGCGAACCTATGGCACGCGTGCCCAAAGTGGCACGCAGAGCCATCGCCTGGCACACGCGATATCGCCTGCTCCTCTTCTGGGTTTATGGTGCACATGCGAGCGCGCCAATCAACTGGCCTTCGCATGTGCGGCAGTGCCGGAAACTGAAAAGTTGGGTCTTCCGTTTTCTGGAGTGTGCATGCCCGCCAGCCAGCTGATCGTCATACATGCATG